ATATATATATATATATATATATATATATATATATATATATATATATATATATATATATATATTAGTTGAGAGCCATGTTCTATAAGAGAACTATAATGACATCATTATAAAGGCCCTGCATGTTAGGGGGTGGGAATGCATGTCACTTGGCTGATTTTCAAAATTTCACCACATACATGAAAACAGAGCTTGTGTCAATGCAACCACAAGAATTTACTCCAACAAGGCACTGTTTTATTGATGTAATGCAGCTCTCTCAACAGCATCATGAACCAATGATGTGATTTAATGCTTTGTATACCATAGACCATTGTATACAACAGGGCTCAAAATAGCAGGTTAATTGCCAAATATGGCCAAAAGCAAAGCCATATTTTAGAAATGGCAGGCAAAAACAAATCTGAACTGCCAAGTCAAAAAAAAAAATGGCAGGTGGAATTCTACAGATATATTTCATTTTGTTTGCATACTATAACTCATGCATATATACTAGATCATTTAGTTGACTATTAAAATACGTTTATATTTGAAATGTAAATCCAAGTTTACTGTAGTAAAATAGACAAGTTTAAAAATGATAAAAATGCATATCATGAAAACATTGGTTTTTAGAATATGACTCAATATGAAACATCACCATTTGGGCAGTTAAATGAATAAAAATGGCAGGCTAAAATTTTTTTTTCACGTGCCAAAAATGTTTTTACACTGGCAGGCCATATTTTTTTTCTAATTTGAGCCCTGGTGTATACACTCAGTCAATCATTACATTTGTTATTCAGATACAAGGGTGGATCCAGCAAGGTTCTTCTATGGGGGTGCTGGGTGAGCAAACATGAGTTTCTTTATAATTCTTTAGGGGGTGGTGGGAAAGCATTCAAATGAATTGGCTATCTAATGACTCACACGCCGAAGGTGCAAGCTCCCTAGGGGGTTCAGGGGTATGCTCCCCAAAAAATTTGAAAATTAGAACCCTAGAAATGTCAGTTCCTGCAACATGGCCATTGAATTATGAGCTTCGGTTTGACTTCAAAAAAGGAAAACCAAATTTTGCACCTCCCTTGCACCCATGTTTACCAAGGCCAACAGGTGCACCCCTGTGCACCTCCCCCCTATAAATCCACCCCTGTTCAGATATCTCACCTCATTGTTCTCTTCTTGGGTTTCCTCGTCAAGAAGTGGAATGTCTGTTTGAAGTGGTCGTATATAAATTTTGGCTAGAGCACAGATATCCTTCAAACGTATTGTTGTCAGTGGAGGTTTAATTGCATGAAAGCCCCCATTGACACCACCCCCTCTTTGATAAAGTGAGAGTTCATATCCTCCTGTGTGAGCAAGCTGGGGGAATTTTTTCAAAATTTCCTCATACAAATAAACACTGCTCTCATTTAAGTCTAACAATAATGTGCAGTCTCCCAAGCCTGCATTACATAGATCTGTCTTGTCTTTCACATTTGAAGGAGGAGCTGTGGCTGTTGTTGCAGCAAGACAAACAAACTTTAACTTGCATGTGGGTTGCTTTTCCTTCTTTTTTGATGCTGCTTTGCCCTTGGTTGAACAACGACTTTTATTGAAATTAAAAAGCCGTCTATGCTCACTAATTGCAGATGACATGGTTGAGCTGTTGGGTTGTATGGCCAGTAGGTAGTATGGCCACAAAATAGAAATAGGCAGAAGCTTCACTCGAGTCGGAACCTTTGAAGTTTTTGTGCCGGCACATGTTACTTCCGGATCTTGGCCGCCATGTTGAAAGCAACCAACTCTGGTCCAAAACATTATAAACTAATATGGCGAAACTTGTATTTCATAACTTTAAATGGGTATATCGTCGTTATTTTATGGTGGATGTCATTGAAATTTTCAGGACGTACTAAAGAAAGGTAGATTATTCATTTTATTATAATAAAAGCTTATTGAATGATGCTAAAATTGTCATTTTAAACGCATTGCAAACTGTATGTGCTGTTTTGGCACCGATGGATATATACGCATTATGTTATTTTTCTGAGTGTAGCTTGAAACTATTGCAACTACTATTCAATTTAGCTTAAAGAAAAATGCGTCATGTCTTGTTTTTAGAACGCAGTAGGTTGAATTTTTTTAATTTTAGGCGCATATTAT